TCACCACAAGAGAGCTCGATGTACGTACAAATAAATTCAAAATTTCATTACGTAGCAATTTCTTGTTTAATTACTAATCAATTTCATACATTCATATAGTTTATTCGCATGAGGGATAACCTGACCACACACAAGGAATTTATCGCGGCGGTTCAAGAACAACTCATGGGATTCATCAACGAAGAAATCCTTGATCCCAAGGGTGAATTCTACTACGACGGAAACACAATTCACCGGTCCTTAGCTTCTGAGCTAGCAGCGAGTACTACTACGTCGAAACCGTAGCTAGCTAGGACATATAATGGATTGTAATTAATACATGACTACATATGTTTCTATATGCATGTGTACACATTTTCTATAATGTAAATATATTTTGTTCATATATATATCTATATACATATGCATTTGCATAACATATATATGTATAAATACATATATATATATATGTATGCATATATATGTATTGAAACATATATATGCATGGTTTATATATATATATATATATATATATATATATATATATATATATATACCATGCAGCAACAGGGGCATGCAAAAAAAAAAGGTCAGCTCTATCTTTACTCCCGGTTATTTCACCCGGGACTAAAGATAGCGATCTTTAGTCCCGGATTGGTACTCCTGGTTTGGAAACCGGGACTAAAGGGGGGTTACGAACCGGGACTACAAAGGGTTTCTCCACCAGTGATAGCTGATGATGCATGGAGAGCAGGGTGGCCCACACCACCAGTGTCTCCACGTCTCCGCGCGCTCATCCAACCGACTGCGGATGCATGCACAGTGCCCGCCGTAGTACGCTACGTAGAGTTCCGCTGCATGTGATCGATCGATCGATCGCCGCCGTCGGATTCGAACCTCGGGAGGCGGGGATGAATCCGCAGCCGTCCGTTCGAGTCTGACCCGGTCGTCGTCGGGGTGGGCCCGGGGATACAGCGATAGGGTACGTGGTACTGATGTACAGTAACCGGAGCACTGCACGTTTGTGTCATCGTGTGTGTGTGTGCCACTGACTGTATGCCAAGAAGGTATACTGTAGACGGACTGTAGTACCCTGGTATACGTATAGTCGTAGTATTTGTGTACACATTCGTAGCTCCCCTCGTCCTCGTTCGGGTCTGATGATGATATGTAACATTCGCACTTTTTGCATGCAGCAGTGTACTCCAGCGTATCTCCACGCAGCGGCGGATTTAGAAAATCGATTCATTGGTGTCATAGAGTTAACAACGAAATTTAGTAAGGCCCAAAGAGAATTATCACATCGCCAATAATCAAATTTCTACTATATTCGGTTAGGGAGATTAATCTATTAAAGAAAACTTATCCAGAAGTGACTGAGTTCAAGGAGGATACGGCGTGGCAAGGAATGTTAGTTTCCTTCTATCTTTAGGAAAGTGTGTTTAGTGTCCTATAAATACTTTATATTTTCCTTTTATCTTTAAGAAAATTTCTTTCTTTTTCTACAAGACTAGTATCTACCTATGGGTATAAATATGTACACCCGGGGTCATTGTAAAGAATATCTCGATCAATACTACTCTCGGCGCATCGCCACCCTCTTTCCCGAGGTTTTTACTTATCATCCAGCGGAATTTGGTACCCGACGCAGGGCTGCATCGGTTCAGTTCGATCTCCGGCGAAGGGGTAAGTCCTACGTTCTGCTGGCCCTGGCAATTGTGTTGGCTTCGTCGACGTCGTTCAAGGCTACATCAGTACATTCGACCTCTTGGATTGCTCCGGTTCAGTTGATATATTTGCATATCTATTTATCATATGTCTCAGTTAATCTAGTCTTAGCATATCAATTTAACTCTATCGGCTGCTTCTCGTTTTAGGGTTTCTGCCGGTATCAGCTAAATCGTGTTGCTTAGATTAGATTAGCTTAGACATCTACCACCCTGAAAATCAGTCAATGGCTTGATTGTATAGATATTATGTTTCTTTTCATACTTAGTGCTGCATCAGTTAAGTTTGATCTACCAAGTCGTGTTTAGAACCATAATCTCTAGCCTGCTTCTTGACTGCTAATAAGGGTTTCATCGGGGTTTCAGCCGATGAGGTATCTAGATGTTGCATCGGCTTACAAAGATTACATATAAGTTGGATTTAGCCGATCGCAACAATGGTTTCTCTGTTCATCTAATCTTGTGAATTTTATGACATCGGACCTCCAGCCGATGTTGCTTTAACCTTCGGATCAGTGCTTATTCTATCATATCATTGCTAGCCGACATGTTTCTACTGGATTATATTGTTTAATTATATTGATTATCATCAGCCGATTGCCTTTATATCATTATCTACATTGAACATATAGCCGATAGCTCAAAACCCTATCGCTATCGGCTGGAATTACTCCATCGGCTTGTCAGCCGATCGGCTTATTGATCTGCTATTTGCATATCTTGTCAGTTGTAGGATCAAACTGACTGGCACGCCCGCACCTCACCAAGATTTGGACCTGCACTGGAGCTAATTAAGCAGATCTTCCAGGTCAATGTGTGTTTTTTACATCAACACATAGCGTGTCTATCGGTGTCATAGTATGCTAATAATGCTTAGATCATAGTGTTATAACATATGAATAATTAGTTTCGCTATAGGTTTTGTTGAAAGTTGTTGATGTCGCCTGACACCGGCCCTTCTACGGTAGATCGCCCGTGTCTGCACATATGTATCTGTACACTTGGTATACTGTATACGTACGTTCCAACCATATACTATAGCTAAACAAAAGCATGTGTAGGCATGCAGGTACGTACGTTTGCCGTGTATAGCAGTGTTTTTCTTTTTTTACACATACATATGTAGTGTATTTCCTGATTTTGTATGTAGGTACCACGTACAATTAATGTACTTATTGTTATGCACAGGTAGTCAGGTATGTTCTGTAAATTAAGGATTTTTTTTTACTTTTTAGACTTTTTTATTTTTTATTTTATTAATATACCTTTCCGAAAAGTATTTTTGAAAACCGAACCTCTTGGCCACAGCGTTGTTTTGCCACGCCAGCTTGACAAGAGGCTAGAGTGGCGGGATAATACTGCGTGACAAAGTGATTTGGCCCAAATTTAAAAAATACTTTTCGGAAATGTCTATTAATAAAATTTTAAAAAATAAAAAGTCTAAAAATAAAAAAAAAACTTCTAAATTAAGTTACTGACGTTCTCCTTGCAAAACTATAGTTCAACGTAGCGGCGGATCCACCTCCGATCCAGGGCTATCCAAGTGTTCCCGTTATTCTCTCACCAATGAAACACATGTGAAGATTATCGAAAGTTAGTAAACGATCTTGTACGCTTACCCATCTGTCCCAGAATATAGCAATCTAGTACCGGATAGGATGTATGCTAGTACTACGAATTTAAACAGAGACGTATCTTAGTATTACGAATTTAGATAACCCTCTGTCTAGATTTGTAGTACTATGATATATCCCATCTAGGTTATATATTCTGGAACGGAGGGAGAAGCTAGTTTGAGTGTTTGATAAGGGCACAATTGACATTTACTGTCGCACATGCTCGGAGACGGCCAAGAAATTTGCTAGATGGTGAGACCATTATTTGCACATACACGTACGTGTACAGTGTACTCATGTATAGCTGTAGATTGATTTGCATATGCAATGAGGCATCATATAGCACACGTGTCTTGTAACAATTACTAGTCTAGTGTGGGCATGAGCTCAATTTGTTAATTTGTGATATGAAATTTATATCATATCACAAATTTAAAAGCCAACTTTTTTTTGAGGGAAATTAACAAGCCAACTTGATATGCCCAAAACACGGAACTGTTTTAGCTTTATTTTGTCATGCCATATATGGTTACATCACGTCCCCATCACTCACTTTCTTTAGCATATGCTAAGTGACAAAATAATTCTCATGAAATAAGATAACTATGCAGTCCGGTGAGGATTTCGTGGCGTCTAAATTCCTAATAAAATCTCCAATAATTCCTCCTAACGTGCATGACGACATGAAGCATATAATATATTCAAAACTCTAATACTTTTGAAACCGATTTTCTAAAGCTGGACACGCCAAAACATAATACCCCCATTATTTCATATTATATGTAGCTTTTACTTTTTATGTTTGACCAAGTTTATAGAAAAATACAATAACATTTCTAACACCAAATATATTTTCAAAATGTATTCAATGTTACATTTACTTAAACTAACTTAGTGTTAAAACACTGTTAATTTTTTCTAAAAACTTGATCAAAACTAAAATAACTGTCTAGAAAAAAAATTTATGACGACTTATAATATAAAATAGAGGAGGTAGAAATACTACACATATACTTTTTTTTTTAAAATAGCTCTTCATTCGGCAAACATCTTGCATTAGGATAAATTTGCAAGTTAATTAGCCATAAAAAAAGTTTTAAAAGGCAGCATGGATCTTCCACTAAAGCAAGAAATTTACAAGAAAAAAAAGAAGAAAATTACAATGCCTTGCACGTATTCACGTCACGCATAAGCTCGATCGAACAAAACCTCGCATTCTAACGTTACTTTATGTCTATCTTTTTTTTTTCAAATCTCACGATCTGAAAATCGAATTAAAAAGTCACCTTCTCGTGGCTCCAAAAATTCAGAAAGCGACACAAAAACCTCACGATTTTCCTGAATTCCTGCAAAAAAAAAAAACAGATGCACGTCTACACTTTCCCAACTCATATCTCTCGTTTTCCACGCGCACGCTTTTCAAACTATTAAATTATGCGTTTTTTTAAAAGTTTTATATACGAAAGTTGCTTAAAAAATAAATAAATTTATTTTTTTAAAAAATTATTAATACTCAATTAATCATGCGCTAATGAATCGCTCCTCTCTTTCTTTCTTTCTTTCTTTCTTTTTTTTTTATTAAGGAGTTGGGTTCCCAACTGGAAGGGGCGAACACAGCCCTAGCACAGCTCCAGTCCACAGGAAAAAAAAAAGAAAAAAAAGAAGCAGAGCGGTTTTGCACATTACCCCCTCCAAAACGTGGAATTTCCATTTCCCTCCCTCTCCCCCTCTTCCGCCCCAACCTCCAACCTCACCTCGTCGTCGCCACGGCCTCCCTCGCGAGTTCGCCGTGGAACACCCGATGGGCTCCGGCGAGGACACCGGCGCGGGCGTCGCGGGAGGAGGGGGAGGCGGAGGCGCCGGTGGGGTGGTGCGGGGCGCGGTGCTGAAGGCGCTCGTGGTCGTCGGCGGCGTGCTGCTGCTCCGGCGGCTGCGCCGCTCCACCACCCGGTGGGACCACGCCCGCGCCGTCGTGGACGCGCTCTCCGGTGAGAAGGTGTGGCTCACTCCCCTCGTCCCGCCCCCCCCACCGGAGGAATTAGTTCGGATTTGGGAGCATTTAGATGGGGGTGTAGGGCGGGGCAGCGCTGGGGAATTTCGTCGTGAAATTTGTTTCCCAATTTTGAACTATGCGTAGTGTTGGGGGGCTCGAATGGTGTTATTGTAGTATTTTTTTTGACGTTTTTCTTGTGCAGTTCTCGAGGGAGCAGGCGAGGAAGGATCCTGATAACTACTTTAATTTGAGGTGAGGAATTGTGCGAGCATTACCCTTTTTTTTTGTATGTTATTAGCATTTGTGCTGTCGATTTGGTTGGGAATCCTTGACTCCATACTTGTGTCACACTTGCTAATGGTAAGAACTAGTCTTACGTTGGGTTGTAGTGTTTTGGGGCTGTTGGTTTGTTAGGAATTTGGTGAAAATAGCTTATTTCCCCCCTGCTTAGCAAGCTCCATTGTTCTTGCATCGGTACAATGCACATCGCTGATATGCGATTGTGGTGTTGAGGAGTGAATATTGTAGGCTTTTGATTTTATCTTTGGTGATGATGATTGCCTGTGTTTTTGCGAGTAGATGAGCAATACTAAAATGACTGGCCATGTTAGAGCTTGGATATCATAATTTTTCTGATCACTGTTAAGTTTTCGAATTGGATTATTTCTTCATTGGGTTCCACAATAAATGCGCATTGGGATCATCTGCTAGTACGAGCTCAGTATAAAACAGTTGATTGAGTGGCATGCTTATGCAAAGGGATGATTTAACTTTTGTACTTTCTGTCTTCTGTCCCCATAAATAAAATTGCGATTAAGGCACTATGTTTAGTCTTCTAGAAACAAATGGCAGTTGCAACTGTGATGCTGTACAAATAATTGACCTTATTATAAGCACCATGGACGGTTCATTTGCTTTGGCAGAACTACGCAAACATATCAATGAAAATTTACTTGATTTCCTCCTACAGTATCATCTGGAGCAAATTTATTATTAAAGATTTTTATTTCATTAAACCCTATATTTCTGATCCTTTGGGAATAAATGAACAGGCAATGCTTTTTTTTTTTGTGAATTTCAAGGACCTACAACTCAGTGATGTAGTCAATTTTTATTTTACACTATATACTCTGAATACTTCTGCTCTTACTGATTTACCTTGGTCCTTACTGTTGGTCCTTGGAACCGTAATTTCCAGGAGGATACCCGTATTATTGTGACACTTTGGTTATCAATACATGGCTGCCTAGATATTTCGTATGGAAATGCAGCTTCTCTTAGTTGATAGTGATTCACCATTAGTTTGAAAAAAATCTAGATACCAGAATATAACATACTAGAGGCGATAAAACTTCTTTTATTTTTGAATGTAAATTTTGTGCGCCTATGATACAGACTATTTCATTTACACATTCAGGATTATTTGTGCTTTCTTTCCTTATGGAACTCTTTTGAGTTATCAACTTGTTTCTTTTTGGGCATAAGGCCAAACATTTTGCAGTGTACATGCTAATCTGCTTTTGATCAGACATATATCTGGTGTTATAACCTGATCTTCCTTGCATCGTAGGATGCTTACATGCCCTGCAACAGAGATGGTGGATGGTTCTAGAGTGCTTTACTTTGAGCAAGTATGCCCACTATTTTCATGTCTTTATTTCACATTTCACAGTCTAGTCCCTTTCTAAGACTTGGATATCTTTATGTTCCTTGCAGGCATTTTGGAGAAGTCCAGAAAAACCTTTCCGACAAGTATGGTAACTTCTAATCTGTAGAGGTCATTCTTGCAAGCCTCTGTTTTTTTAATTCAACATGTGAATGCATTTACTATTATATTATGTTCAACATTTTTAAAGTGCTTCTCTACAAATTGAAGTGCATCATGTGAAAACATGTATGGTTAACAAGCTTACAAGATCTGATGGTGCACATCCACAAACATCATATTTTGTGCCATCTCATGTTAATTAATTGTCTGCTTTCCTATTCTTTGATCAAATGGTATTCCCCCATTTCACTGATTTGGTAGATGCTTAGAGCAGCCATATGACCATTTGTCCACTTCATGCTTATGTTAAATCCAACTGTACAAACATTTTCATGTGTTTATTTCTTTTGTCTGGAGTCTGGACACTTTAGGCTATGCTGTTATTGGAGATAGTGAGAAAAATGTCACATTACTCTGCAAAAAGGATGCTTCTCATAAGATGTTCAATTGATTTGACATAACAATATGTGAATACTAGAACTGAACATTTCATTTGCAGCAATGCTCTTTTATTTCCAATAAAAAAAACTTTAGGGGTTGGTCATGGCAGTATCTGTTGATACTTAATATTGACAAGCAAAAATAAGAAAAGAATTTCTAACCCACACCATGGGATCTAGTCAAGAGATGCTATATAATCAACTAGACAACAAGGCTGTTTTGTGACAGATATTGGTACTTTGCATGTCCTTTTGTGGCATATTATTTATATGATTTCACAACGAACTTTCATTTAAGATCTTGTCTTGTTCTTCTATGTTTCTATCCCATGTACCTTTCTGCTTTAGTATTTATATGCAAATGCTAATAAACTTATGGTCCATGCAGAGATTCTACATGGTAAAGCCATGCCCAAAGGATATGAAATGTGATGTTGAGGTGATCTTACCTGTGCCTTTATCTAAGATCTGATTGCATATATGCCTTTACGCTGATATTGAAGTTTTACATGGAGTAGTACTCTGCATTGATATTCCATAGAGTTAGGCTGTGTTCTTCCCCCCATTTTCCCAACCCACCTCTCTCGTTTTCCGCGCACACAGTTTTCAAACTGCTAAACGGTGTGATTTATACAAAAACTTTCTATATAAAAATTGTTAAAAAAATCATATTAATCCATTTTTTCAAAAAAAATTAGTTAATACTTAATTAATCATGCAATAAAATGAACTTCGTTTGCATGCCAGGGAGGAGGGGTTCCCAACCCCCTCCTCCGAACACAGCCTTAGTAGAGTCAATTGGTTCATAATCCTCCAGTTTTGAATTTAAACTGCTGTATTACCAAAGCGAGGTCATAAGAAGAAATGATATATCATATTAAATCGTAAAAGAGGAATCTGATTCATGAATGTTAGTGTGGCATTGCATGATCTATTTTCTACCTTTTCAGTTTTTCATATAAAATGCTGAAAACATATGTAACTTTCCTTACCTTGTCCATTTTAAAGATTTTTATTAACACTAGATAATTTTCAATGGATAGTTGAGTTCATATGCAATTAGAGATGTTGAAGAGTACAAGAATTTCTGTGACCGTCCAAAGGATCAGAGGCCACAACCAGAAGAAGTCATTGCGGTATGTCCTGTCAAAATCATATTTTTCAGAATGCAAACCTGAGAGCTTTCCCCCTTTAATTTGTAATTTTGGTTGAGGTATTTTTTATCATGTTTCCATGGTTCCATGAGATGCGTTCCCATTATCAGTAATTACCTTGCTGTTTATAAGAGCCAAGTAAAAGTACTTTATACTCATTGGCACCCATGGAATTTCCTTTGCATCTATTTATCAGACCTTCAAATGTTCCCATGGACTGTAAATTTGTTTCTACTGTGTGACCACCAGATTCTGTTCATTTTTCTATCCATCTAACTATTTTGTAGTGTTAAGAGTGATATGCAGGTGTTGCTCCATTGTCTAGGTTAAGAAAATCCTTTATAGGAATGTGCTGAGGAATTCAAATTAATAATACCGAATTTAGTTTCTAATGAACTTTATAGTTTCCTTGGTTATTACAATTTGAAGAATGGTTTACCCAAACATACATGTATGCAATCTGTCATAACTAAACATTATCACTATATCTTCGCAATTGTATATTGAAATGCAAATACAGTAAGTTACGAGATGAAATTCGAGTGGAAGTCACTGTGACAACAATGTAGTAGTCAACCAGAAGAGGGGATAGGTTTTCAGGGGTTATATGCTTAACTTTGATAGTTTGATTACTGGCTAAACTCATTTTACTTAGTAACTGATTGATGACTGTCATTAGCTTGACTTTTTGATGGTTTACCTTGTAATGAATGAAGCAAAAACTGTTTTCAGTTTCTGTACTCATCTTGGTCTAGGTAGTATGCGGAGTTGCTTGCAAATAAAATCAGGTGAAATAGCCACTTGCATGGGCTATATAGGAAATCTGCATTATCATTTCCACCAATTTAATGTCAAAATGATATGGGGGAGTCTAATGGGCTGCAGTTTTTATAGATATGTACAGTATACTGGCTGACTATCATATGTTTGACTGTACCAATTCATGTACATCCTTTTTATCATTTAAAGATCATGGAATGGGACCTAAATTTGTGTTGTTATGTGCTACACTTACTGCACTAATAGGGCAAGACTTAGTTCCCACATGGATAAAGATGCTGGCTCCCTTATTACATGGCATAAAATGTGATGCACCCAAAGCTATGCACTATATTTGTAAAGGCTGTAGATCTTAGTGTGTCCCCAATGGATATCCACATGGAATCATGTGTTAACAATAGCTTGCTTCATACAGTTCAGTCCTCGCTAGAAAACCTTCCATTACTCTTAAATTGTAGCCATGATGCAGCAGTCTCATCTCCAGATCGCCCTTAAATGATTTGTTGAAGCTTTTTTGGACAGTTTGAAATTAAAATAGAACTGAATTGTGATTTTGTAAGTTATGTTTCTTTCTTATTTTAAACAGTGTTCGAACCTTTATTGAGTAAATGGCTATGCTCTCTGGGCTACAATGCTTGTGCAGAAATAGTATCTTGTCTGAAACATCTTGTCAATCTATGATGTACGTGAAGTTGTGAACCCCTTTGATGAGCCATAAAAAGGAAATAAACTTATCATCGTATAAGTCTTAGCTTCTGTTCCTATTGTGTTGGTGGTAGAAGAAAAATAGACAAGTTTTTTTTTTTCATTTTTTTACCCAAGAAAGTAGTTCGCACTACTCTTCTGATGCTCAAGTTCATTGTTGGTTCGCAGGACATTGCAGAGCACCTGACTACCATACACTTGTCGCGGTGTGAGCGTGGAAAGCGCTGCTTGTACAAAGGATCAACCCCTCCTGAAGGCTTTCCCAACAGCTGGGTTAGTCCTTTTGATGACAACATTTTGTCTTCTCCTGAGTCCTGACAAACAATAACACTCCTGGATAATTTCTTGTTCTCTATTGAACGTTTCGAGGCAAATCCCGTGATCTCAACATCAATGTTTTGACAGAGCGGTGCGACATATTGTACATCGGATTTGTCCATTCACAAGAATGGTGAGGTGCATATCTGGGACAAGGGTTTTGACGATGATGGGAATCAGGTATCATTTTGTATGTTCTCTCATGTTGTCATCCCTTGTAACTTGCAGTCCTTGTGAATTTTATTCCTTCTAACAATGTAGTATGAATTTATCTCAGGTTTGGGGAACCAAAGCTGGCCCTTACGAGTTCAAGCCTGCCCCCAAGTCGAATTACGACGACATGTTCTCGCCGTTGAATTTTTCTGCTCCATTGACGCTGGAGAAGAAGATTGAGAGCTCGTTCGCAATCGATGATCAGTAGTATATTAGTATGTACATACAGTTCATGTACCTCTCTCTCTTTTTTTTTAATTTAAGAAAACTAAGCAGAAAAAACTGCCTTCGTTTAGTATATAGCCCCGTGTACTGAATTTTGTTGCTAAGAAATGCAATAAAAAGTAGCGTTGCATGTATATAGGATTTGTGAAGTTGAGCATACACAACGAGAGCCCATATGGTGTCAAAGCTGGAGTGGTCAACGGTCAACCCTGGGCGCTGTCTAACAAAAATAATTTCAGTCAAATTTTGAACGGCTCGTGATTGTTCCAATATCCGTGCAGCTAACATTATCCTTGCTCCCTCACACATGTGCCGCGTGCTTGTCCTCCCCAACCCCACTGCCAAGCTGGGGTTAATATATAAAACGAAGTTATTAGTATATAATTAATTAAGTATTAATTATTTTAAAATTAGAAAATAGATTAATATGATTTTTAAAAATAATTTTTATATTTTTCTTTTGCAAAAAACACACGTCTGGTAATTGGGGAAGTGCGCGTGTAAAAACGATGCACTTTTTTCTCTATGTTGTTGAAACGAACGCAAAGATAATGAAATGGGCCCACCTGACCAACAACCTCCTCCCCTCCTACTTCCTTTCCCGCTCCAAGCTTTCCGAAGTTCGGCGACGTCAAAGCCCTCGCCTCGCCGGTCCTTGTCTCCAGTGGCTTGCGTTACCGGATTCACCTCTATCGCCCCATCATCAACCTTGCCTATTGTTGGCTACCCTCTATCGCCCCATTACCAACCTTGCCTATTGTTGGCTACCCATACCGTGGCTCTGATGACGCTATCATCGCCCCACAGCCCGTCCTTGTCTGCCACCCACCACCATCCATGGCCATCTCTCTAAATCCCCTCTTCCCTTTTCCAAACCCTTCCTATCCTGTCCCTAACCCCAAACCCTAATCCGTATGTCCTCTACTAGAGTCGGGGTGTCGCCATCACTAAAGAGAGAAGGAGCTCGTCGTCGCTGGAAAAGATGGTTGCCATCACCATCGCTAGTAAGCTACCTTTCCTCCCTCACTCTCTCTCCTTCCTGCCGAGGGGTGAAAATGGATCGGATATTATCCAATCCAATCCGCTCCGAATCCGTCCGAAATGAGGATATGGTATAGGCTTTTAGAAATCCGTCTCCGGATATGGATGCGAATATGGGTAGTATGATGCGGATGCAGATAAGGATATGGTATCTCTAAAATCCGGCGGATGGGGATTATCTAACATTTCTATCGAATTATCCGATAGGCCGTTTGCCGGATAATCCAAAATTATCAATACATGTAGGTGGTGTTTGGATCCAGGGACTAAATTTTAGTCCCTGTCACATCGGATGTTTGAATACTAATTAGAAGTATAAAACGTTGACTAATAATAAAACTGATTGCATAAATAAGAGCTAATTCACGAGACAAAATTTTTAAGCCTAATTAATCTATAATTAGCACATGTTTATTGTAACATCACATAGGCTAATCATGGATTAATTAGGCTTAATAGATTCGTCTTGTGAATTAGTCCATGGTTATGGAGTGGGTTTTGTCATTAGTCTATGTTTAATACTTCTAATTAGTGTTTAAATATCCGGATGTGTTAGGGACTAAAATTTAGTCCCTGGATCCAAACAGGGTTGTAACCACTTTATCTATTGCATATAACATAAGTTGGTCTATCCAATGGCCTAATTTATCAATTAACCTAGATTTCTTAGTTTGAGGCTTTCCTCGTCTCATGTCACATTTGCGTAGCTGTATTTTTATATCATGGACATCATGTATTTATGTTGTTTAACATTTAAGCACATAATTACTACGATGTGTCGTTTATTGATTATTGTATTATTGTTTCTTGCATTGCTAACTCGATGTTGTATTGATTGCATATACACATAACATTCGATAAATTTAATCCGTTTTCAAACCGATTCTGCACCATTTCCGACATCCGAAACAATCCGCTCCGCATCCGCATCTGTACACTATCAGCACCTGCTCCGAATCCGTTTAGAAAATATGGTTTAGGATATGGTATAACCACTATCCGTCTAAATCCGCTCTGTTTTCACCCAGGATCAGCTGAAAACTAGCAATCCTTTTTTTTACCGCTATTTTTCTCTATAAACGAGAAAAAATATCCCTGCCTCCATTCCCCTCCTCCAACCTCCCCTTCCAGAGGGAGATTTAGCTGTTTGCTACTATTAGAATTGACTGTAAAATCCTGATTTTCAAGATGTTAAAAACTACTCCCTCCGTCCCTAAATATTTGACGCCGTTGACTTTTTTAAACATTTTTGACCGTTCGTCTTATTCAAAAAAAATTATGAAATATGTAAAACTATATGTATACATAAAACTATATTTAACAATGAATCAAATAATAGGAAAAGAATTAATAATTACTTAATTTTTTTAATAAGACGAATGGACAAACATGTTAAAAAAAAGTCAATGGTGTCAAATATCTAGGGACAGAGGGAGTATTTAATAAAAACCCTATTTGCAAAAATCTTGGATCTTTGTGTGCTATTAAGGACCAAAGTTGCCAAGATCTCAATTAAATCCCTCAGTTGCTAAAAAAAAAATCCCATTTTCAAAATTCCTTTCCAAGCTCCAACCTCGGGGTTTGAATTTTGAAATTCGAATTCCCCTCCATTCTTTCTGATTCTCCCAAATCCAAAAGCCATCAAATTTATTCTCTGTCTCAAAATTCAAATTATCCACAAATTATCTATTTCTCCCTTGACCACTCTTTCTCGGCCTCCTCTTAAATCCATGAGTTCAATCAGCAATTTTGAATTCAAATCCTCAAAATTTTCCCTTGGAAATTACCAAAAGTTATTGTTCCACCGGGCCACCGCCCAAGCCCTCTTCCTTTTTCCCTCTTCGGCCCAGTCGGCCTCTCCCTCCTTTTTCCTCCACTATGACCTATTATCATCAATCTTTCCTCTAAAGAGTTTATCACTTGCAAGTAGTCCAGAGAACAAAGGGCAGGCAAGTTCCGAAGAACTCCAACATCTTCTTGCGCGCCACAGTATCTTAACCATGATAGATAAGTTTGATAGTTTTGTGAGTGCTGAACTGATCCACCTTGGTAGTGTGTGGAGAGTGGGCTTAACTCCGACGGGCTGAGGTTAAATATATCTTCGCTTTTTCGGTGAGTTCTTGAAGTGCCCAATCTACATTCAACATGAAATCGAGGGATATACCTGGAGCAAAAATATGGATAGTTTTAAGTTTTTTCATAGAACCTGAGCAATCAAGAAATTATTTCTCTTCGCTCTTCTCTCATGTAGAGAGAAAAAGTTCCAGAACCCTTAGTTTGGGCAAATAGCTCATATCGCCCGTGCTGCCACACTGTACCATCGCCGGTGCTAGATTGGTTTTCCTCCTAGTCTCCATTATCAAGAGCAATCGGTGGCCAGAGGTGGCGTTCCGCTAGGATTTTTTTTATTTTGTGAACTTTTTTAATTATAAAATAAACCCTTTCAAAACAGTATATTTCTAAGATTTGAACATTTTAGCCACGGCTGGCGTGACGGTTTTATCTTGTCATGTCAGCCAAGCTGACATGTTGTTTTGCTAGGCTGGCATGACCAAAAGGTTCAAATTTTGAAAATAAGTTTTGAAATTGTTTATTTTTAAAATTAAAAAAATAAAAAAATTCTTCTGCCAATGAGTTCAACCGATACTTCCATGTTAAAATCACCCAATACCATTCTCCATTTTAGAATGCAAAATGTTTGGGTTTTATCCTAAGTCAAACATATTTAAGACAACACATATAGAAAAATGTAGTAACATTTATAACGCTGAGTTAATTTTATTAAATCCACCGTTGAATATATTCTTATTATATATTTGTTTGGTGTTACAAAATATTGATATATCTTTATTTATAAACTTGGTCAAACTTGATAAGTTTGACTTATTATAAAACCAAAACATCTTATATTTTGAAATGAAGAGAGTATTAGCCAACCAACGATGAGATGCAGAACTGCGATTCGGTGATATCTTTTTAATTTTTTATGTGCTTTCAACTTGATGCAGTTCGAGAAAGAAGCCTGCCGTGAGTTTCATCATTAGGTTAGTAATTAATTCTCACTTTGGTTGAAGGTTCAGTATGAATATATGCAGGCTTAGTGGCTTACAGAATTCTCAAACTCGTCTTCTTCAACAACTCATCATGATTCGATATTGGGAAGGTACACATAGTACATAATGTGTTTTGCATACATATGCAAATACAAATATGCAAGGGTTAACCTAAGCATCAGCGATAGATATTTAAACATCATGATACATAAATAACAAAACTATCACAAGGAAACCTTTAAGCCACATGGCCACTAGTTAGAATATATGTACTCCCTCCGTTTCGAAATGTTTGACGCCGTTGACTTTTTAGCACATGTTTGACCGTTCGTCTTATTCAAAAAATTTAAGTAATTATTAATTCTTTTTCTATCATTTGATTCATTGTTAAATATATTTTTATGTAGGCATATAATTTTACATATTTCACAAAAGATTTTGAATAAGACGAATGGTCAAACATGTGCTAAAAAGTCAACGGTGTCAAATATTTCGAAACGGAGGGAGTATATGCAGGCCGTGATGCTCAACGTTGAACAAACTGTAGTCATGACGGGCGGAAGTAGAAACCAATTGCTTCAAGACATGCCCCTTGATGTCCAAAGAAGCCAACAATGCTGCCATTACCTGATATTGGTGCATGGAAAGGAGTCCCTCCTCCTTGGCCGAAAGGTCCATACTGATGACCAGCATTATTGATAAAGGTAAGTGAAGTTATAACAATGGGGAATTCACCAAATGGACCAAATGTTCCATGAACTTTAGTTATGAATTCTGAAGGACCAAGATTGATCTGTGAAAAATGAGAAAGATGAATCCTATTAAGCTAGATCTATATGTTCAAGAAAGTATTTGTAGGTGAATACAAATTATCAGTGGAACAAGGATTCGTTAAAAAAAAATGACAGAACAAGGACAAAAGGCACACATCCATGCTTGATTGCCTTTAGAATTAGTCCTTCCCATAACCAAGAAGGGCATTTGGTAGCATGATTTAATACTCACCACTTTCATGAGTTTAAAATAAATATTTTTTAGATATTGATCAATTACTATAATAGTTTTACTATATGTATTCTAGTCACTCATTTGCATCCAGGAGCACTAACTTTGACACCGACTCACCTTATAATTGTTCTCACCACCACCGCCCCATGGACCTAAAATGTACTGCAGTCCATCGTGGCTTCTGTATGAAAATGTAAGTGAATTTATAACAATTTTACTTGAAATTGTGATGCTTTCCAAATGTTGTGGTGTGACTTTGATGTCACAACGGCACCCTCCTCCCCGGCCAAATGATCCAATCTTGATGATTCCCTCCTAAGTATAGACAAATCATGGAAATAGAACTTGTACCTTTTCTTGAGAAAATATTGCAATGAATTTGTACAAAATAAAAAAAGTAAAAGGAACATTAGTACCTTTTCTTCTTGTTTCCATATCCCAACCCAAGGGTTCACATAGACGCCTATTGCATCAATATAAAGCTCCGCATGTCCAAAGAAGCCAACAATGCTACCATTGCCCTGGATTGGAAAGTTGAAAGATATCCCTTTCTCTTTACCAAAGGGTCCATAGCAGCCAATATTGGTGACCAGCGTAATAGATGTTATAACATCATATGATGTATTATATGACCCAAATGTTCCAGATACTGTTGTTAGCAATTCTGATGGACCAAATTGAATCTGTAAGAAAACAACAAAAAAACAAACTATAATGAATGGCTTGCGAAATATGTTGTGTTTGTTTTAGAACTTTACACCATCGCTAGCACAGAAAAGTCCATTCAAACCCTCTCATCATCGCCAGTTCAACTATAACCCGGTCATAACTGTTTTCTTTATTGCCTGTTAATGAGAAAAACCAGTAGTTATAATTTCACTACCGATTGCCACTGCCTGTTCAATTGGTAGTGATGCAGTGATGCTGGTTAAACAAACTGGCATTGAAAAAGTTTGCAATAGACACACACCGTCTGATTATTTCCACCATCACCGCCCCATGGACCTGCTGTGTGATGTTGTCCATCATGGTCACTGTAGGAAAATGCGAGTGAGTGTATCACAATGTCGCTGCAAATTGTCACATTTTCCAAACGATGGGGGAAGCACCATGATATCATGAGCCTTCCCTCCATTTCCACCACATGGACCAATCTTGGCATGCCCAAACTGAGTGCAAACACACAAAAAAAAATCACAAATGGGAAACAATAAATACAACAAAACAAGCTCAAGTCAATTTTGGAATTAAATTTGAAAATATACTAATACACTGTTCATTTATTTTTTTTCCCAAAAACATCCGGATGTAATTTTTTTTGGCACAAATATACCGTTGATATTGCTGAACTGTTGCGCAAAAATGATAAGAACGTGATGACGCGGGCGATCTCACATGGTGACGGCGACTGTGCGGTGTCGCGCGGTAAGGGTATGAGACCGAGCGGTCTTGCACGGTCAAACAGCCACAACATTTGAAGATTGATTAATTAGTGATTAATTATCCTAATTAGTGATGGATTAATAATAATTAGTGATTAATTAATCACTAATTAATTAATTTGAATCTTGGTCTCGCTGGTTGGCCATGCGAGACCGCACAACAGTCTCGTGCCGTCACCGTGTGACACCGCGCGGTCTTGCACCATAGCCACGTGAGACCGCTTACGTCGTCACGCCCCTCATCATTTTTGCGCAACGGCTCGGTGATATTGACGGTATATTTGTGCCGAAAAATTGCTTTCCGGATATTTCTGAGAAAAAAAATGAACAATGTATTTTCAAATTTAATTTGTCAATTTAGTACCTTGGCCTTGTCTTTCACTTTTTGCAGCTTAGGCTTCACATAGATGCCAATTGCATCAACATACCACCCAGCACGACCAAAGAATCCAACAATGCATCCCCTGCTCTGTACTGAAATGTGGAAAGGAGTTCCCTCTCTTTGTCCATAAGGTCCATAGCTCTGAGCATTTGTAACAAATGTAAGTGATGTTATGATATCGAGCGCTGCACGAAATCGACCAAATGTTCCAGAAACCTCCACAAGAAACTCTGAAGGGCCAAGTTGAATCTGAGTTTACCAAGATCAGTCAATTTGTTCAAATACGTTCGTTCAAAAATTTGTTCAAATACATATGAATGGGTAAAATGTATTAATGAAATACACTTTGCTTGATATATATTCATGCTCACCATATGAACATTATTACCACCATATCCTCCCCACGGACCTGCAGTGTGCTTCTTCCCATTATGGTCGCTATATGTAAATTCAAATGAATGTATTGCAGCCATGTCACTGCAAACTTTGATGCTTTCTAGATGGTGAGGTGCCACCTGAATATCATAAAGCCTCCCTCTATTTCCACCCCATGGTCCAATCTTGGCAAGACCAGCCTAAGTACAAATCAATCAAACAATGATTACAACAAAGTAAATGAGAAAGAAAGCATTCAAGGGGTTGATAAAAAATATTACATTTTCTTCTTTGAATATTTTTAGATCAGGGATCTCTTCCATTCCATCCCAATACATCAATCTTTCAAAATGTTTGCTCAAGTCAAGTGTTGGGCAGTTGAGATTCAAGCTAGTTGCATTCCTTAGCGCAGCCTCTGCAGTTTGGACCTCCCAAAGCCTAGCGTAACGACAGTCAACCCCAAAATGCACAGTCTTAAGGGAGGTGAGATTTTCCAAGCCCAGGTCAAAATCACAATGGAAAACTTTTGTCTTCTTAAGTTGAAAACGAAATGAAAGTATTTGAAGCCTCTGCATGGCTCCATGTCTAAAGGCTAGTACCATAGCAGGACTTGTAAAGTTGAAGTTTGATAGACATTGAAATGCTGATCTTGCATGACCATTACCTCCACTATGACTTAATATAACCAACATTTCATCTGCAACATCTATCACTTGCAAATGTAGAGAACAAAGGGCAGGCAAGTCCCCAAGAACTCCAAGATCTTCTTGCCGCAATATCTTGACAATGATTGATAAGTATGAAAGATTGGTGAGTGATGAATTGATCCACTTTGGCAGTGTAGAGAGTGGGCTAAACTCTTCCCACACAGACAACGGGCTGAGGTTGAATATATCTTCGCTTTTTGGGCAAATACAAACTGTAAATTTTTTGAGTTCTTGAAGGGTCCAATCTACATTCAACATGAAATCCAGGGATATATGTGGAGCAAAAATATGGAGACTTTCAAGTTTCTTCATACAACTAAAACAATCAAGAAATGGTTTCTCTTTGCTCTTCTCCCATGTACTTAACAAAAGTTCTAGAACCCTTAGTTTGGGTAGATCGCTTAGCTCTTTCATAAGACTTGGATACATGCTGGTATCAATCTCTGACAGATGTTCTAGACATTCCATATTCCCAATCCCGTTTGGCAACTTTGTCCATGTGTCAACCATAAGACGCATAAGTTGTGTAAGATGTACAACAGATGATGGCAATTCTTTTATTCTTGTCTGCTTAATATCTAATGTTTGCAAAAATCTTAGGTTTCCAATTTCTTTTGGAAGCTTATTATAATGTGTACCACGCAACCTTAGATACCTCAGGTGAACCAAATTATCTATATTATCAATATTTTGACTGCTGCAATCTCCTAAATCCAAGACACGCAAAACTCGAAAGCCCGAAAGGGGCATCTTCAAATCAATACCTTGCCAAAGTGACCTCACATGGGAAAATCTCTCGGTTGCATCAGGTATTGTAATATCATCCTTGCTGTTTTGTAGGGATAACCGGTAGATCCTTTTCGGTAGATCAGACACCGAACACTGACCATTCAAAATGGCAACAAAATTTTCTTCAATTGATAAGCCGGCGATAAATTCCAGTATGGTATCATGCACACGACAAGCTTGCGCCTCAGCATGCACATCAATGCATATCGGTTGGATCAAGTTTCTATTAATGAGTTCATCAAAGTAACTCTCTCCTTTTTCATATAGACTTGTACCTTGTCTTGGCTGGATAAAATCTTCAGCTATCCATCTCCATATTAGGTCATCTCTATCGATGATATAATCCTCTGGAAATATACTTAGATACATAAAACAAGTTTTAAGAGGAGAAGGCATATCACAATAACTAAGAGATATTATCCAGCGCATGTCCTTCACATCAGTATTACTTTCAAGTCCGGTATGGAAAGAACTGCATACCGAGTTCCAGTGGTCCTCAGTTTGTGTCTGCCTATTTGCAAATAAGCTAGCAATAGTAATTATAGCTAATGGTAAGCCACCACATCTTTTCAAAATTTTCTGAGATATGCCCTGAAGCTGAGGAGGGCATCTTTCATTATGGAATACTTTGTGATATAGTAGTTTTTCAGAGTCAGCAACTGAAAGAGGCTGTTGTATTTGTATGGTACCATCAACATCATCAGAATAGCAACACAACTTTGCAACATCCATGTTGCGAGTAGTGGTGATTATTTTGCTACCATGATCATTGTCGATGAGAACACATTTTAGAAGTTGCCATGTTGGTTTATCCCATATATCATCAATAATAATGAAGTACCTATAATGTCAAAGTATGTTAGTTGAAGAAGGATTAATATTTATTTCTCGAACGTGCAGGAGAGCTTTGCATTGTAGTGACTTAGATAAATGGTTGCATGGGTTACATACATATACTTGTAGTGATTTAGTTGTAACCTAAATTGTACAAATATGATAAACAATAATAAACATAGAAAGAGGAGTGTATTAAACCTTAAGCTACAAACAATCATTCGTTTCCACATTGTCCCAAACACAGATTAGTTTTGGGTAAGTGTCACTGATGTGGCCCACTTTGAAGCCACATCTGAACTTAGAACATTAGTACATAAATTTGAAAATAGTTGGCCCATGAAAAACAGTGTCTAAAAAATGGAACATAATATATGTAATGTAAAATATTTCAAGTGCAATTCTAGAATTTTTCAAGTATGTTCTGAAAAGCATTTACTATTTTAAAAAATCAATAATTTTCCAGAGGCCATGTCGCCACATCATTGACATGTCACCCAAAAAACATTCCAATTAAATTTTAACCAAAGTTAAAAGGTGAATGATTTCAGTAGATCAGATTGAATTAATGTTTGGTTTAGAAATTCAGGTTCTTTTTTTTTTTCAATTTCCACGAAAGTCCAGGGATGCGAAATTGACCTGTTTAGCCACTCAAAGACATTGAGTGTGTGCATTTTATGGATGCAGAGGCCGGGGATGTAAGGGAAAATATATAGTGCAAACCACAAATGTAGTGGAAACTTGGAAACTACCGTTGAATTGAGAAATGGACTCCGAGATTCGTCCACGTCACCATGAGTTAAAATTTAACTCCCAGTAAACTTTTAACTCATGAGTGAATCTACGAGTTAAATTTTAACTTATGTTGATGTGGACGAATCTCGGATGTCCATTTCTCGATCCAACAGTAGTTTTCAAGTTTCCACTAGATATGTGGTTTGCACTACATATTTTCCCGGGATGTAATTCATTCTCCTTATCTATAAATTCCAAAGACACCCAAAAAATTCAGTGATGGTTTACAGACCTGATATCCTTGAGAATATCCCTGATTTTGTCGATGATTTCCTTCTCACCCCAAGAACTGAAATTTTCATACTTGAGTTGGCTCACTTGACAGAGTATGCTGCTAAGAACAACCTTGATGTTTGGCTTTCGAGAAACCGAGACGAAAGCTTGGCACTCGAATTGGCCATGGAGCTTCTGATACACAAGGTTGGCGAGCGTTGTCTTGCCGATTCCTCCTGGCCCAACAATGGCGACCAGCTTGAGCTTTCGCCTCACCATCACTGCACCTTGATCTCCTTCCATGGATAACAGCTTGATCACTTCCTCCACTGAGGCGTCGACGCCGACGAGGCTGGCGGCGTTCGTGTAGAGCGCCGGCAGCCGGAGGTCCACCGGAGCGTCGTCGACGACGACGACGACATGGTCGTCGATCCTGTACCTTTCCCGGCGCCTGCTCACCTCCTCCACCTCCTTCTTGATGCGCTCGATCTCCACGACGATGGCGGCGCGCCGCCGGCTTCGGCCATGGCCATGGGCGAAGCCGATGCAGCACGGACGTCGTGGGGCGGCGGCGGCCTCGCGGAGCAGGTAGGTGTCGATGGCGTCCTCGATGTCGTAGGACATGTCGCGGATGTCCCTCGCCCAGAGCCTGACCTGCCCGTCGAGCTGGTCGGGCGGCGCCGCCGACACCTTGTCGAGGGCGGCGCGCATGCTGGTCAGCTCGCTCTCGAGGTGCTCGACGCCGTCCTTGACGGCGCGCCTGCTGCTGTGCTGCTCGCCGGCGACGAGGAGGAGGAGGTCGGCGAGCTTGGGGAGGAGGGTGTTCAGCGCACCGGTGGACACGCTCACCACCGCCTCCATCCGGAACCGGAAGCTTGTTGCCACTGGTAATTCTCTCTGTGTGTATGTGGGGTTTTTGCAGAAGTGCATACTGCATAGTACGTAGTACTAGGCTACTAGCTCCGTTTTCTATTAGATGATGCCGTTAATTTTTTATCGTATGTTTAATCATTCATCTTATTAATAAAATTATGTAATTATAATTTATTTTATTATGAGTTGTTTTATTACTTAAATTACTTTAAATATGATTTATATCTTATACATTTATATAAAATTTTTAAACAAGTCCAATAGTTAAACATAAAAAGTTAACGTCGCTTTGTACGTCTCTTGAGCTGATAATTAAGCGTGTTCTGTAACTTGTGTGATAGAATCTGACGGGACCCTACTTATTTAGACGGGACCCTACTTAATTATCTTTTTCTTTTGAAAGATGTACTCAATTCTTTTTAAAATATTCCATTTGGTGAGCAAATCATTGACTGTCAAACCTACTTTGCTTGTGCAACGCATCTATAGCATCATGGATTATTATCTAGATGACAGTTGACTATTTTTTTTTCTTTCACTTTCTTTGATGACCAGCTACCTCTGCAAGGCGTTCCCTCCACAGCTCTGTGTGCTACTGCTGCCTCCCCAGTTAGTTGTCAGCTAGGCTAGCCAAATTTCACATTTATAAATTTGTAATGCTGCTATCTTCCATTGTTAAAAAAATGAATGACTGACCTAATATCAAATAAATAGAAGGGGTGAAGCTTCAAATTCAGACCGGCTAGCCCGCTATTTTATGGAGCTAGTCGAAAAACCCCCAAGTGTTTCTCATTGTTACCGTCACTGTCGTTGCCGTTCACTACTGTACAAAGGTATTCTCTTAATTAATGCCATAGAGCCATCCGCATCTAATAAATCGCCATTGATTTCCACAGGCAACCAGGTTAACCTGACCGACTAGGAGATGTTTTTCTTTTTGGCAAAAGAAAAAAAAACTACAATTGTAAATACACACATACAGCTGCCTCTACATACCGTCCCCAGGTTGTCCCATTTCCACGGATCAAACACCCCACAAATCAAATCAATATATATCCCCACATAAATGGGGAAGAACAATATTCAAATATCACCACCTTGTCGGTCCAAAGTGCATAAGAAACAGAGAGAAGAAACAAAGAAATTCCATGTCTCCATCCCAATGCTACATAATATACACATTCCCATCACAAATTCCCATATATGTCACAACAAAAAGGGAAAACACATTGGTCAAATACACAGCAACAAAAGAGCTTGCCTGCAATAGCTCGCCGCCGCCATTGAGCTCGGTGTTGGCCTTGAACTTTCCATCTTGGCACAACGCGGTGGTGGTGATGTGGTATGTGATGGTGGAGGAAGGAGGAGGAGGCAAGGCTCCCGAGGTTGCTGGTGTCAGATCCATCTCTCCCAAGACGCGGGAGGCCACGGACATTGCCACCGCTGCTAAGCCCTACTGATGGTTGATCCATTCCTTCTTAGGCCTCGGGAGGCTGTAGACATCTCTGCCGCCTACTAAGCCCCCTATATTCTAGAGAACATGGAAGTGTGGCTGTGGTCGACAATTGTGGCAGTGTTGACGGTACTAGTACCAATTTTAACCGTCACTCATGCATAACAGAATACAAATAAAATATGAAACTTAGTGGTACGGGTTTATTATTAACCATTTTCATGAGTATTGGTAGACATTTGTGTGCAGGTAATTTTAGATGAAAATACACCTCTCATATGACAAAATGTACCTCTAGCCAATCATATGCGAGCAAAAGGATTGAAGGGCCCACATGTCAGCTCAAACCGACTTAATTTTACCTAATCCACCGTGCACCATTTTTAGAGCCCACATGGTAGCCTGTAACACCCTGACATTCCTTATCCCTAAACATAAGCCAACTCATACTGGGGTGTTATGTATTACTTGTGAGATAGTACCAGTCCCATGATACTTTAGCTGGTGATGTGCACTAGGGTTCCCGATCTTCCGAAAGGTTCTGATAAACAACGATTTGGGCGGAGTCGCGACACAAATCGATCCGGCTTCTTGAACGCGTACGCTCTTGAGCCCCGCAATCGCAGCACCACGTCTCCTCTGGTTATCACCCGTGCCGAAACGCGGATGACCTCGCTGAGAAGGCTAATCCCTGTTTGCCAATCGAAGAACACAAACAAGAACGAGATAGAAACAACCAAAATTGCAGATGAATGATTAAGCTCACAAGTTGGGGTCTTACAAACCGATCTAGCGGCGAAACTTTTCTCGACAGATTAATCTAAGCAAAACCCAAAAACCTAAAGATGGCGGCGGATACTGATATATAGAGTTTAGGGTCGTGCAACCCCCTCTCGACGCAACCCTAATGGGTTCCAACACGATACACGGGCCAAAGGCCCAAATACGGTGACGCAGCACCGGAACAGATTCTGGATGTCAACTTGTTCAGTCAATTCCCATTGACTCGGAAAGAATTTGGACGTGGGACCAAAACCATTGGAAATGTTATCTTCTTAGCTTTCCATACATATAAAGAACACCCCAATGCGAGCATGTATGCGACCTGGGCGCCCGTTTTAGTGCAGACTGGTCCTGGACTCCGAATTGCACCCGACGTCGACTTGGTTTGGGCCTCCACCTTGACTTGGACGTCCTCGATGATCCTCCATGGCTCTAAGTCCTTCTCCAAGTGTCTCCTTGTCCCCTCCATTGTTCCTAATCACAATATAATCATTAGGTAGCAATCTATTCTCGAATTCATACAAAGAAGAACATAGGAATGAGCTCACCTCTAAATTTAATTGTCGCGCACGAGCTCTTGTTATCGGTCCTTGAATGACCGTTGGAGGATTGTTGTGTGTATCCGAGTTAGTGATGTCCGCATCATCCTCCCCCTCTTGAATTGAAGTCGTCCTCGACTCAAGCTCATCCTCTTCTCCCTAGTATGGCTTCAAATATGAAATGTTAAACGTGGGGATAACCCCAAACTCGGGAGGCAACTCAAGTTTATATGCATTATCATTAATCTTCTCAACAATTTTAAAAGGACCATCAGCACGAGGCATCAACTTAGACTTTCTCAATTCTGGAAATCTATCCTTTCTCAAGTGCAACCAAACTAAATCACCCGGTTCAAGCTTAACCTCTTGCCTACCTTTACTACCAGCAATTCTATACTTTTCAGTCATCTTTTCAATGTTGAGCTTAGTTGACTCATGCATTTTCAAAATAAATTCAGCGCGTGCCTTAGCATCATTATGAACCCTCTCACTAGTAGGTAAAGACAAAATATCAATTGGAGCACGAGGGTTGAAACCATACACTACCTGAAAAGGACTTACCTTGGTAGTAGAATGTGTTGCCCGATTGTATGCAAACTCCACATGAGGCAAACATTCTTCCCACATCTTCAAATTTTTCTTCAAAATAGCCCTCAACATGGTACCCAAAGTGCGGTTGACTACCTCCGTTTGTCCATCTGTTTGTGGGTGACATGTTGTAGAAAACAATAGCTTTGTACCCAACTTGTTCCATAGCGTGCGCTAGAAATGACTTAAGAATTTTGCATCACGATCTGAAACAATAGTAGAAGGCATATCATGCAAGCGAACAATCTCATGGAAAAACAGATCAGCAATATGAACAGCATCATCACTTTTATGACATGGTATGAAATGTGCCATCTTAGAAAAACGATCCACCACCACAAAAATGCTATCCCTCCCCCTCTTAGTTCTAGGCAATCCCAAAACAAAGTCCATAGAAATATCTGCCCAAGGAATAGAAGGTACATGAAGAGGCATATACAAACCATGTGGATTCAAACGAGACTTAGCTTTCTGACAAGTGGTGCAACATGCCACGAACCTCTCAACATCCTTTCTCATCCTTGGCCAAAAGAAATGCATGGCCAAAACATCGTCCGTCTTCTTAGCTCCAAAATGTCCCATCAACCCTCCTCCATGCGCTTCCTGTATCAACAAAAGACGAATGGAACCAACTGGAATGCATAGACGGTTAGCTCTATAAACAAATCCACCATTGATCACAAATTTGTTCCAAGTACGTCCCTCTTTGCAATTTGTCATCACTTCATTAAAATTAGGATCAAGCGCATATTGTTCTTTAATTGATTCAAGTCCAAAAATCCGACAATCAAGTTGGGACAAGAAAGTATAGCGCCTAGACAAAGCATCTGCAATCACATTATCTTTCCCTTTCTTGTGTTTGATAACATAAGGAAAATATTCAATAAATTCAACCCATTTTGCATGTCTACGATTCAAATTATTTTGAGAGCGAAGATATTTAAGCGATTCGTGATCGGAGTGAATAACAAATTCTTTAGGCCACAAATAATGACGCCACGTCTCTAAGGAACGTATAAGAGCATACAATTCCTTATCATACGTGGAATAATTCAAAACAGGACCATGCAACTTCTCGCTAAAGTATGCAACAGGCTTACCATCTTACATCAACACACCTCCAATGCCAACTCCACTAGCATCACATTCTAACTCAAAAGTCTTACCAAAGTTTGGAAGTTGTAGCAATGGTGCGTGTGTAAGCTTGTCCTTCAAAGTGTCAAACGACTTCTCCTGTGTCTTTCCCCAATGGAAGACCACCCCTTTCTTCGTCAACTCGTTCAATGGTGCAGCAAAGGTACTGAAATCTTTGACGAAACGGCGGTAGAATCCTACAAGACCAAGAAAGCTCCTCACCTGTGTGATGGTTTAGGGAACCGACCAACTCTTTATGGCTTCAATTTTCGACTCATCCACCTCAATTCCCTGTGGAGTAACAACATATCCAAGAAAAGAGACTCGTTTTGTGCAAAAGATGCACTTTTCAAGGTTAGCAAACAAACGTGCATCGCGTAGAGCATTAAAAACAGCACGTAAATGATCCATGTGTTCATCCAAAGACTTGCTGTAAATCAATATGTCATCAAAGTACACTACCACAAATCGTCCGATAAAAGGCCTTAAAACCTCATTCATTAAGCGCATGAAATTACTAGGTGCATTAGTCAAACCAAAAGGCATTACTAACCACTCATACAAACCAAATTTAGTTTTAAAAGCTGTTTTCCATTCATCTCCAAGTTTCATTCTAATTTGGTGATAGCCACTACGCAAGTCAATCTTTGTGAAAATTATAGAGCCACACAACTCATCAAGCATGTCGTATAACCTAGGAATAGGATGACGATATCGGATAATAATATTATTAATGGCTCTACAATCAACACACATTCGCCAAGAACCATCTTTCTTAGAAACCAAAATTACAGGAACTGCACAGGGACTAAGGCTTTGACGTACATACCCGCGGTCCAAAAGGTCTTGAACTTGCCGCTGAATTTCCTTAGTCTCCTCTGGGTTGGTTCGATAAGCAGCACGGTTTGGCAATGATGCTCCTGGAATCAAATCAATTTGATGCTCTATCCCTCTCATGGGTGGCAATCCTGGGGGTATCTCAGCTAGAAAGACATCCTCATACTCCTGCAAAAGGTTAGTAACAACAGGAGGTATCGAACTAGCAATATCATCTAAAGAAACCAAGGCTTGTTTGCATATCAAGAAATAGCACATATCATCATCTGAAATTTCAACAATGTCACATTTCGTTGCAAGCATAACACCACCCTTCAACTTAATTCCCTCACCTTTAGAACTAGGTGAAAGCTTATCCTTTTTAGGTGGAAAAACAGATTTAGCCACATGCTGATTTTCAGATTCATCAAGTTTCAAACTAGCAGCTCGCTCTTTATCAGCTTCTACAATTTCAGCATTGGTCAAATGTAGCAAAGTAATTTTCTTCCCATTATGCAGAAAACTGTATTTATTACTCCTACCATGGTGTGTAGCATCATTATCATGTTCCCAAGGACGGCCCAGCAAAAGTGAACAAGCTTGCATAGGAACCACATCACAATCAACATAATCTGCATATGAGCCAATGGAAAACGAAACCCTACAAACCTGTGTTACCTTTGCTCTTCCGGAATCATTTAACCACTGAATATGGTAAGGGTGTGGATGTGTACGTGTAGCCAAGCCAAGCTTCTTGACCAAATCAGAACTCACCAAGTTGTTGCAGCTACCTCCATCAATGATCACACGTGCACAACGGTTGTTGATGACGAAGAAAATCTGAAACAAATTATGGCGTTGCAACCTGTCATGCTGTTGTACCTGCGTGCTGAGCACCCGCTGCACGATGATGGTCCTGTAGTCCGTTGTGTCATCACGACCAAAGACTTCGCCATCCTCATCATCAACTTCTTCTTCCCCCTCTTCCTCTTCCACGTCAGAGGTGGTGATGTAGCCATCTTCTGTAGCAACATAGGCCCGTTGACTAGGGCAATCTTTCTGCACATGCCCAAACCCTTGGCAATGGTGGCACTGAATGCGTCCCGTCGAGGCGACAGATGAGGCACTCTTGGCGGGTACCTGCGAGGAACTTTTACCTGACTCTGCTGGTCATGGTGGAGATGGTTTTGGTGCCGCAGAAGCTCCGGATGCAGCTGGTCACTTGCTCGCTAGCTGGGAGGATGCCCGAAAAGAGACGGCCTTGGGCAGTCCCGCAGATGGCGTCGTGCGCGGAGTTTATGTGCTTGCCTTGCTCTTGCCCTGATGGTCGCGCCCTTGTAATTCCTTCTCTGCAAGCATAGCAAACCGAAACAACTGGTTGACAGAGTTAAATTCCTTATAATCAACAATGTTCTGAATTTCCTCCCTCAAACCAGAATAAAAACGACAAATAGCATCCCTGACCCCCTCCACTATGCCACAACGTCTCACACCCTTTTGTACCTCACCATAGTAATCCTGTACAGATTTATCCCCTTGTTCCAAACACATCAGTTTCTTGCGTAAATCTCTATGATAAGATGGAGGAACAGACCTATCGCGCATAGCTACCTTAAGTTCTTCCCAAGTAGTAGGTAGTACCCCCTCATCAGATAACCCAGCCCACCACATAATAGCAAAATCCTTGAACTCACTACTGGCTTGTCTAACTCTATGTTGCTCGGGTACAAGGTGGGCATTAAACTTTTGTTCTACTGTCATCTCCCAATCAAGGTATTTCTCAGCATCATAATATCCCGAAAAAGATGGTATTTTAAACTTAACCTTAGCATAAGGATCATCGGGCACACGATTATTATTATTACCTTGTTGGTGGCGAGTGCCACCCATACCTGTGCGGTTTGTGCGTAGGCGACGTCGTAGCCGTGCTTGCCTTGTAGCCAGTGCGTCAATATAGCCACTGGAATCATACACCGTGTCTTCAGGATGAGCATCGTCGTCACCACTCACCACTTCCTCATTGGAAGGTGTCTCCAACGCGGCGACCCGATCAGTTAGCGTGGATATCCGCTTGTCCAACCTCTCCATGTGGTTCAGGAAGCCGATTTTAGTGAAGGCATCTTGGACAGACTTTGCAACAGCCTCCGTGATGTCCTTTTGAGTATTTTCTTGGAGAGTTCGTAGTTGCTCTTGGCTGACACAGTCAGCAAAATCCTGGGGACTCTTCTCACCTTCGTTACCTGACATTGAAACACCAAAACAGAAACAAAACGGTGAAGGTTATCCCTAATAATCTACTACGCAGGTGTAGTGGTGCCTCTCAACGATTCTCAGCAATATGGAGTTCCTAACCAAGCTCTTATAAGGTTCTTACCAGCAAAGCAAAGGATACCTGGAAGGCGTAGTCAGCGATTGCAGGGATCAAGAACCTGTGCTGTCCAGAAGTAATATGTGGAGCTAGGAAGGCCAAATATATGTATATGAGTGGTACACAATCCAATGACAGATAGTAATGCTGAATAAAAATCCCAAGTCACTTGCCCTTAGTTGCTGGCCTACTCGTGTCCTAGACAGTAGTGGTAACAATTATGGCTCAAGAAAAAAAAATGACACTAGTAAGCAGCAAAGAAGGACTTGCAGGCAAGCTTCGGCGAGTTTCAGCAAAAACTACAAAACCGAATTGGCAGATAAGCTCAACGGAGCGCGTCGTGAGCTCAAATTTTTTTCTCTTATCCAAAAAGTTAAATTTTGCCTGATTCTGAGTCCGTATGCAAAAGTTATGGCTGTTTGAAGTTTCTGCTTCCGGCTAGGTTTTCCAGGGGGGATATAACCTAGTCTATTATGCGGTGGAATTGGGATATGGTGGCAGCGGAGTTGTAGGGTGTTCTGGTGATGCGTGGTGATCTGGATGGGTGTTTATGATGTCGGAAACGGCTCTCAAAGGATGAACCCTAACACACGATGAAAGGTAGCGGCTAGGGTTACAAAGGACAAACACACGATTAGACTAAAACACGCACTAGACCAGCAACATGAACTTAAACTAGGACTCAAACTCAACACTACGGACTCTGAAAAAGAATCACGCAAAGGCTAAACACGGTCTAGGTTAAGGTAACTAACAACTAAATTTTTTTTGGCTTTTCTGTAGACTCTAGGATAATTGCGAAAAACAAAAACTAATCTAGGGCAAAGAAACTGAGCGAATCTGACGGTGAATCTAGAGCTCTGATACCACTTGATGTGCACTAGGGTTCCCGATCTTCCGAAAGGTTCTGATAAACAACGATTTGGGCGGAGTCGCGACACAAATCGATCCGGCTTCTTGAACGCGTACGCTCTTGAGCCCCGCAATCGCAGCACCACATCTCCTCTGGTTATCACCCGTGCCGAAATGCGGATGACCTCGCCGAGAAGGCTAATCCCTGTTTGCCAATCGAAGAACACAAACAAGAACGAGATAGAAACAACCAAAATTGCAGATGAATGATTAAGCTCACAAGTTGGGGTCTTACAAACCGATCTAGCGGCGAAACTGTTCTCGACAGATTAATCTAAGCAAAACCCAAAAACCTAAAGATGGTGGCGGATACTGATATATAGAGTTTAGGGTCGTGCAACCCCCTCTCGACGCAACCCTAATGGGTTCCAACACGATACACGGGCCAAAGGCCCAAATACGGTGACACAACACCGGAACAGATTCTGGACATCAACTTGTTCGGTCAATTCCCGTTGACTCGGAAAGAATTTGGATGTGGGACCAAAACCATTGGAAATGTTATCTTCTTAGCTATCCATACATATAAAGAACGCCCCAATCCGAGTACGTATGCGACCTGGGCGCCCGTTTTAGTGCAGACTGGTCCTGGACTCCGAATTGCACCCGACGTCGACTTGGTTTGGGCCTCCACCTTGACTTGGACGTCCTCGATGATCCTCCATGGCTCTAAGTCCTTCTCCAAGTGTCTCCTTGTCCCCTCCATTGTTCCTAATCACAATATAATCATTAGGTAGCAATCTATTCTCGAATTCATACAAAGAAGAACATAGGAACGAGCTCACCTCTAAATTTAATTGTCGCGCACGAGCTCTTGTTATCGGTCCTTGAATGACCGTTGGAGGATTGTTGTGTGTATCCGAGTTAGTGATGTCCGCATCATCTGGTACACATCGAATAAATGTGGAATGAAAGTGACTGCTTTATTACATCACTGGATAGTAGTCCTTACAAAAGTTGCCATCGTGGATATGCCCATAAATGATCAATACAACAACATAGAAAACCATAAGAACGACAGCGCAGAAGCGAACGGCACGGAGAAACTAAGCGACTAAGCAACTAAGCACTAGGCAAAGCACCTAGGCAACTAACTTATTCTACAGGCGAGGCTTGGGATTAGGAACGGAACATCTAAAAGTCTTCATGCTCGGCTTACTCCTAGAGGCACTCCTCAGCGGTCGAGTCGACGCCTTCATCTTCATACTCTATAGATTTATATTGGGAAAGGGTGAGTACTTAACGTACTCAGCAAGCCAGGGAAAAGAATGATATGTTTGGTCTAAACAAGGAGGCTAAGGTTTTATTTGCGAAAGCAGCCTTTTCGGCAAATATATTTATTTTACAAAACTTCTGGTGAGTCAAGTTTTTGCTGTTGGGAGGAGGCTCACTCCTCGTCTCATTTCACAAGTTACTTTGCAACAACTTGTCACAATGATTATTAACAATAATTACTTGTTTTCCTCTATTAGTTTCTTTTCACTTTCACAACAACTAGATTAAAGCAATATTATTACAACAACACTATTTCTCATAGTTAACCTAGCTATATCAACACATCAAAACACCATCTCGGCCCTAACAACACCTTGGTGCCTGACGACACCCCAGGTGCACAAGAAAACGAAGATGTTGCTATTAACCAAGATGCACCTGTTATTGAAGATTCAGATTCTTCTATTGTTGAGCAGTCTACAAAACATTCTATTGCAAAAGATAAGCTCAAAAGAAATACTAAACCTCCTCGAAGATATATTGAAGAAGCGAACATAGTTGCTTATGCTTTTAGTGTGGCAGAAGAAATTGAAGGTAATACAGAACCTTCTACGTATCCTGAGGCTATTGTTTCTGATGATTGCAATAGATAGATTTATAACTGCTATACATAATGAGATGGAGTCACTTGAAAAAAATGGGAATTGATGAAGTTACCAAATGAGAAGAAATCTATCCGTTGCAAGTGGTATCAGAGCATTGGAGATCGATCTACTATTCCCAGTCGCCGTTGGGTTTGTCCTCTTGTCGAGTTGTTTTCTGTCGCCGAGATCATCCTGATGCGGAGTTGGCGGGGGCGCAGCGCAGCGGCTTGTCATCGAGATCAATCTCGGGCATTAAAAATAAAAAAAATAAAATAAGGGAATAAAGGCAGCATGCATGGCTGAACATACAGATCGTTCCAGCGTCAAGACCCCGGCAGCAGCGTGAGGTGTTGTTCCTCGTTCCTCGTCGACGTTAGCCGCAACTACAGATCGATTCGATCTGTTTGTCCACGTCCTCCCACTGCTTGTTCGCCTGTTCGCTGGGAAAGAAAAAAAAATATACAGGGCTGAAGCCACTACTAGTTGCATGCACCTGGAGGACAGGAAAAGCCAAAGTCGTCGATTTGGAGCAATTCACTCCTGTTCAGATTGTGCACGTTCTTCGTACCATATATCAATTAAATTGCAGTGCTTCCGGTTATGTTTTGGTGAATCCAACTCACTTTCAATTGCTATATTCACAAGCCAAATTTACCAGGAGGTTTATACGGAGATCAACTTCGTTTTATGCACTTCATTTTATACACTTAGAGTGTTTCGTGTTTCTGCTAGGGTTCCACAAATTATACCAGTAGATTCAGGATTTGTTCCCAATGGCGAGTTTGAAGTATGGTCTAACTCTTCTGGATCAAGGGTGTTATTATGGATTATAGTCCAAGTGACTATTTGGCGCACATTGATATTATCATCATGAGGTTGTTTGGAGATTGAAGATTTTTATGCTACAAGGGAAATTCGTCTCAAGGTGGAGATTGTTAAATATGTGATCCGAATTTTGGGCTCACAGTATATTCGGATTAGTTTTCTAATAGGACTCTGCATTATAGGATTAGTTTACTATTAGGACTTCGAGTCTTTGCCTACTAGGACTTCTTGATTTCTCCTATATATATCCCTTGTAAGCCGCACGGGGAGGGTGCGATAGTCCAATGTATCCACTGTGTTTGTATCCAACTCCTCTATACTGATCATTGCGGTCGGCGCCCGTGGTTTTTTCCCGTAAGGGTTTTCCACGTAAAATTCGTGTCTCCGTTATGCATCTATTTTCTTAAGAGACCCGTTCCTAACCACAAAGGTTAGCCATCTGCCACATAGGCAGACTCTGGAAACGTTACCCTTCCCACTAAAAATTTTCCACAAATATTTTGTCAATCAAAACTACGCTATGAGAAACACCTTGCACTCGCCCTTGACCATGGGCACAGCTGTTTGAACAGTTTATTAGACTCTGCAGAGGTTGTGCACTTTACCCACACGACACAAAATTGACACCATTTACCCGTCAGCAACAGAAGTTCGTGATAAGGCCTTTCCAAAGCTAACCCATGAAAATTGCATGTCACCTGTCAGGGTTACGGATAGGGCATACCTTCTATCCTACGACTTATGGAATATACCGATAAGGTATACCTTCACGTACACGGATTGTTCCCATGTATATCGTTTGAAATCCGTCCCAAATTATGGAAAATATCTCTACGAGTCAAGCGATTTCCAAAGTCCTACTTGGAAGGGATAGAGTTTCTGTTATGCTGTACCAGATCAAATACACTTAGATCTTTCTTGGGGGTCAAGATGATCCACGGTATAAAAGGGACCCCCGGGGAGGGGTGAAAAGCATCCAATTCCATCGCGAACACACCCACCATAGTTTACGAAGCGGAGTACACGGAGCCAAGTCGCCGGGAGATCTCGTCGAAGCCATCGACTACGATCTCGTCGATATCGTCTGCTTCGACTACTCTCTTTGTAATATGTTCCCATCATTATCAATTCTATATAAACTGGACTAGGGCTATTACCTGACAAGGGGTCTGAACCAGTATAATCCTTGTCTTCTGTTTGCTTGATGTCGTACTACGTAGACCCTCGTTCCAACGTACCCCAATACTCAACTCATCTGGTCCACGAGTATCACTCGTCGACAC